TGGACAGTTTGATTACCGGAGTGACCAAGAAGGAGATGACAGCCATGGCGTTGGGTCTGGCTCACAGTCTTTCCAGATACAAGCTGAAGTTCTCACCCGATAAGGTCGACACCATGGTGATACAGGCGGTGTGCTTGCTGGATGATCTGGACAAGGAGCTCAACAATTACATGATGCGGGCGCGCGAATGGTATGGCTGGCACTTCCCCGAGCTGGGCAAGATCGTGACTGACAATCTTCAGTACATAAAGACGATGCAGATAGTCGGTCAGCGGGAGAACGCCGTCAAATGCGACTTGTCGGATATTCTAACGGCGGAAGTCGAGGAGAGGGTGAAGGAGGCCGCAGAAACTTCGATGGGCTCAGAGATCTCGGAGTACGACGCCGAACACATGCAATGCCTGTGCGTCGAAATAATCGAGCTCCACCAATATCGAACCCAGCTGCACGATTATCTGAAGACTAGGATGATGGCGCTGGCGCCAAATCTGTCAGTTTTGGTCGGTGACCTGATCGGCGCACGTCTGATATCCAAGGCCGGCTCCCTGACCAATCTCGCCAAGCATCCGGCATCTACTTTACAGATTCTCGGTGCGGAGAAGGCGCTGTTCCGTGCTCTCAAATCGAAAAGGAACACGCCTAAGTACGGCTTAATCTATCACTCGCAACTTGTCGGACAGTCCTCGAACAAGAATAAGGGCAAGATATCTAGGATGCTGGCAGCGAAAGCCTCTCTGGCGACGAGGGTCGACGCATTGGGCGATACCACAGGCTTCGAGCTTGGCGCGGAGCACAAAGTAAGGTTGGAGGCAAAACTGAGGGATCTTGAGGCAGGGAATATACGTCGTGTAAGTGGCACCGCCAGAGCGAAGTCCAAATTCGAAAAATATCACAGCAAGAACGAATCCATGCAATATTCCGCGTCTGTAGACTCGACTCTGCAGGCTTCGAAGTCAGCTCCATTAATCGTGGAGATGGAACCAAAGGAGGGTGAGGAAATTCGTAAGAAGAAGAAAAAGAAACGTAGCACGAACAGTGAAGTGGAAATCAAGGAAGAATTACAGACGGAAGTCAAGCAAGAACCACAGACGGAAGTCAAGGAAGAAGAAGCTGAAGCGGCTGCTGTATCGAAGAAAAAAAAGAAACGTAATGTAGAATCCAAGGAAGAACAAGGAGAATTTTCTGGTGCACAAGTGGAACCGGAATCAGTTGCCATTTCAAAGAAAAAGAAGAAACACAGTATAGAAGTCAAAACAGAAGATACAGCAGAATCTTCTAGTACTCAAGAAGAAGGGCAAGTAAAAATAGGGTCAAATGTATCGAAGAAAAGGAAGAAACATAGCATGGAACCAGAAAATACGAAGGAGGAAGAGTTAAATACTTCATTGAAAAAGAAAAAGAAACACAGCAAAGAGCCTAAAGAAGATGTGGGGGAGTCTTCTGGTATGCAAGAAGCGCAAGCTGAAGCAGATTCTTCAGATCTTGTATCGAAGAAAAAGAAACACAGCAAAGAGCCTAAAGAAGATGTAGGGGAGTCTTCTGGTATGCAAGAAGCACAAGCTGAAGCGGATTCTTCAGATATTGTATCGAAGAAAAAGAAGAAGAAAAAGAAAGATTCGATTGAGGAGGCGGCATCTGTGAAAGTTGAGGAAACGTTTGAAATGGATATGTCAATTGGAGCAGGAACGAGTGGAGGTAATTATAAAAGTAAAAATGCATATGAAAGTTTTGGTGGAATAAAGATCGAATAACGGTTGATCCTCAGTTTTCATATTTTACTACTAGATATCTTAATTCAACTAGAAAACAATTTAAAAACAAAATTGCAAAAAATGTAAATTTTTAGATATTTTGAAATATAGAATTTTTTTTATAGTAGAGAACATTTAGAAGCTTAAATTAAATCTCTTCTGCGACTATAAAATATCTGAAGATCCTTTTTAAATATATTTCTATAATTTCCAATCTATAATTAAATAAATTTTAACTAATACAATTCTATCACTGTTATATGTATGACTAAATTAATTTTTATTCTGTTAAATCGTGCAATTTTATAATAATAATATGGCTACCTGAGTAAAAGCTTATAATTTCTATTTGCAGAGCAAAAGAAGAAAAAGAAGAAGAAGGAAAAAGAAAGTGAGGAAATGCAACAAACAGTATCGGTTGAAGAAGTAGAAAAACCAGTTTCGAGCGAGAAGAAAAAGAAAAAAAAGAAATTAAAGCATGATTAAGGATGCGCAAAGAGAAATAGGATGAATACAAGTTTTTATATTAAACTTCTACATAAATATAAATAAATATAGATAATAAGAATATTTTTAACTAACTATACGAGTAGGAAAGCTAAAAAAATCTGAGTTTGTTATAAAAGTATTTTTTCACAGAACTTTGTTTTCAATCATAAATTAAAATCGATGATAACGTTGCGAATAGAATCTTTAAATGAAATGACGGTTTTGCCTGAGCATCGATATTATATATTAATAGATTAATTCATGTAAAATATTGTATAGTTTTCATAAATACATTAATGCATAAATATAATTTTTTTTAATTCTTTTTCTCAGAAAATTCTAGATTTTTCCCAGATACCTATAAAATACATAAACTATTATTATATACATAAACTATAATTCTAAAGTTGGTACATAAATTAGTCTGCTATTTTACTTGGTCTACTTGCAGGTATATAATTGTAAATCACTTACATTAATTTTTATACAAGATGTTAAAGTTAAAATCATTACATTTTTATAACAGAATTATTTTATTTAATCCATAATATGCGAATACATTTGAAAATTCACTAAATATTTTACTCTAACATTTATTCATCTGATTTGCAGGCAGTTACATAATAGCCGAATCTTTAAAAGTATAATTACGTTTTGTATACATATATATTAATAGACACTTTCGCGATTTTATTTTTCCAAAAAAATAATATAAACTATAATTATATTGTACAAATATAATCATATATATGTATGATAGAATTCGCTTGTAATTGTCATCAAATTAATAACAGATACAAAACTGACTTGTTAAATATCTTAGAGTATATGTATCTCCTTTGCAAGAACGAGATATTTCATAATCTATGATGTCACATATTTAACATTGCTCATACATGAAATGAATAAATCAATCTGATTACGACATGTATCAAGATATGAGCAATATCTTTGTTAACACGTCTATTCCTTAGTATTTCGTTTTCTATTTTTAGGATGCAAAAATCAAAATATCTATTATTTGTTTAAATATGACGTACTCTATTTATGAATCATAGAATGCATAAACTCGGCTTGTACCTATTCCAAGAGTACATCAATTAACATGATGTAAGTAATGATAATTAACGTACCATGATTTATGGTGCGCTAGTATATAATAAAAAAGACAACAATTAGTTTTTATATATTTTAAATGATGACTTATGATTTTATTAGTTTCAATATCTCACACAATTTGTCTATTTTGACACTATTTTCTTTCGCGTAATTACATCTAATAGAACTGATATCGTTTACAATCATACGCGTGTGTATCTTTTTGGATTTCATTATGGGAAACAAAATGTTTCTCCATTTCAATTTAATCACGAATTATCAAACGATGTTGCATAGAAATTGCGAGGAAACATCTCTATTTGTAATTAGCTTATTATATAAGAAGCTCGAATGCATCCTGGTGCATGTAGAATGCAGCGCACATGATAGGACCGTAACGCTGCAATTTGCATTCCCTTTTTCTTTTACTTCCGGTGCGTCTTCCTGGTTAATCGCCGCGCGTGAATCGAGCAAAGCGTTATAGGCGTGTACGCACTTCGTCTAACGATATAGCGATTGTATAAAAATATTTTATACATTGTATTACTAGAGCAATAACGTATAATTACGCTACATGAAAATCGTCGATTATTCGCTTTCGGCGGACAATTCGTGGACGAAATAATCACCTCTCGCTGAGAATTACATCTTGGTTTTTCAATAGCTTTTTATTTCAGTTTCCTATTTTTTATTACACACACTCCGCGTACTCGAACGATATACGGTATCGCGAAAAATAGATTACGCATATATATATATGCATGTACGTTTGCGGCCTACACGCACATTTTCTCGATTGTACAATTTTCTCTCGTCAATTTTCAATCTCTCTTTTACTTCTCCAATAATATTACGCAAAGTCAATGCGATATATTAAATATATATTCTTTTTGTTATAATATAAATTAGTATATTCGCTTTGACAAGTGTCACGTTTCAACTTAAATTTGTACAATTTGCCGAGCATAAACTATAAATTAGCATTAGCCGTACAAGAATGCGACGGAAAACTTCCGTATATGTGTGGAAGCAAATCCCTTTTTTATAGTGACTAATAGAGCACGTGGAGGACAGCAGAACAATGTCAAATAGTAGAAAAAAAAAAATGAGATAGCCTTCCTAGAATTCTCACAGACTTCATTCTTTCTTTTTCAGAGTCTGATCAGTCTACAGATATTTTTAAGTGGGAATTTATTTCAAAGAGTTAGAGAAATATAGTGGTCAAATACATCCTTAAAAGAAGAGAGAACTGCGATTACAAATTTATGAAATGCATAATAGATCATCGCTGTAAACTCTCGATCGAAGATGCAGCAAGATATATTGTGTGCTCCAACATCGTGATCATTTACGATGCAAAATAGAATAGAAAAACGCAAGCGCGTTAGTACAGTGTCCTAGAACAACTTAATTTCAATTACAGCTCTTATTGACAAATCTGGAGTAGATTTCTCTTGGAAAAAATCTCGTTGCTTGTGACTGTCTCGTTAAATAAAAGAATATTTGAGTTTGAGTTATAATATGATTTTAAATGAGAAAGAAATATTGTAGTTTAATTATCTCAAAATGTAAAAGCTTACTTAGTCTTTTCATAACTTTATTATTAATAATAATAAAAAATCTGCGTCAGATTTGCCGTCGAGTTTCTAGGACACTTCGTGCAGGTATGCATAATCCTGTAGTGTAGCGACATATAAAAATAAGTGTATATAAAGTGCATAAAAAATATAGAGCGTCTCGCAGCGATAGTCTCCAGGATGCGTAATCTTTCTTTTCTTTTCCTCGTAAGAAGATTACTCTCTATCGGAGAATAGCAACGAGTATTGCACACAATTACTCAACGTATCGCAGACTGTGCGAAAGACCCACGGACTTATATTCTATACGTTGGGAACACCGCGTAGTTCTTATCTCTATACAACTCTCTAAGAATGTTTCTTCTAGTACCTCTAGCGCAGTTATATAATGTATATATATGTTTCTATAAGTGTATATATATATAATTTTTTTAGAATACACTACGATATTGTATTTATGGATGATAGATACGTGTGTATGCATATGTACAAAATACATAATAAAAGACAATTCTCGCAAGGCTTTGTCGCAATGACAGTTGCCAGGGCAGTCCGAGCACTATTTATCGGATACTCGTAAACAGATTCAGCACGGATTTATTCTCCTTCTGACTGCGGGCCTTGCTGAACACGTTCCAGAAGCGCAGAGTCTCGTCGCCGGCGCCAGTGACGATCGCCTCGCCGTCGGGCGACATTGCCAGGTAGAGCACCCGGTACGAGTGTCCGGTGAGCTTGGCCACCTGCGTGAGGCTTGGATACTTCCACACGAGGATCTGGTTCTGCGAATAGCCGTGCGTGCTGACTAGCTCGGAGCTGTGCTTGCTCCACGCCAAGTTGCAAACCTGCGAGCCGGTGTCGACACATTGCATCGGTTGGCCGGTCAGCGTGTTCCAGAAGCGGATACAACGGTCAGCGGTGCCGCCGCCGGACGCCAGCAGGCCGTGATGATGAGGCGACCAGGCGATCGCCTTAACCGCCGCCAAGTGCTCGGTGTACGTCTGGATGGGCGAGAGGGAGTGTAAATTCCACACGTAGAGCCGATTGTCATTGCCGCCGGACGCCAGGTACTGATTGTCCGGTGACCATTTGAGGCCGCACACCTCTTGTCGATGGGCACCGAGTCGCCGTTCGCCGACGACGCACGGCGTCCTCACGTCCCTTTGCAGGATCAACCGGTCCCTGCTGCCGGATGAGAGAACCTCCCCGTTCCATGCCAAGGCTCCCACCCGGGCGCTGTGTCCCTGCAGCTTGCTCACCTGCTTGTTCACCGCCACGTCCCACACCTGTATGTAGCCCATATGGGTGCCCACTGCCACCAGATTGCCTCGCTCGTTCCAGGCGACGGAGGTCACGCTGTTGCCATCGCTGGACAGATCGCAGAGTCTCGTCACTTGGCTGGTGCACGCCGACCACAGATAGACGCAGCTTCCCAGGCCAACACTGAGGACGTTTTGGGAGGACCAGTCGACCAGGTTCAGATAGAAGTCGTCCTGCAGCTCTGGAGCGTCCAACACTTTGAAGGGTATTCTCGAGATCTTCCTGGTTGCCTTTCTGGGAGATCTCAACAACTTTTGGCTCTTGGCACTGAGTGGCGACAGGGAGTACGGCGAGCTCTGATCCAGCAACGTCCGGTCCTTGGTGGGCGTGGTATACTTGAAGAGATTCTTGGTGACCAACGGCGAGAGCACCCTACGCTCCTCGCACTGCCCCTTCACGTCCTCTATGCTAGCTCCGAGCAGCTCGTTCTTCAGCAGGCAGGAATAGGCGATGCCGTCGCGGCTGCCCTCGCCGTTCTCTCGCGTCTTCTTCGCCACCAGGCCGCCCCGGCCATTTTCGCTAATCATGGAGAAGGTGGTCTGCCAGTTGTTGCCCGAACGAGTGGGTATAAAGCGATCGTAGCTGTTGTTGCACGCCGACGTCTTCGTGGGGGAGAAGTAGATGGGCGAGTAGGTGGCGACGGCGCCGGGCAACGTCGCCGTGCCCGTCGCCGTCGAGGCATCGCCGCTCACCGGCTTCAGCAGCCGTTTCTCGTACTCGTGATGGAACATGACGCGGACGCGGACGCGATGGATACGTCCCACCTCACCTCTCGACGGCAGTTCCCCGCTCACATAATTAACGTATCGCGAACGCCTCTCTCGCATGCACCGTTGTGAGAGGCCGTGCCCGCCGTGTGGTCGTGGAGCCGAGCCGAGCCGCTGCGCCGACAACTCCGCGATCGATCTCGGGCCTCGGGACTCGGGACACGTCACGAGCTCATCCCCGGCCCCGCTGTTCAGCCACTCCGCCTCCGCGCGTTCCGTTCAGCTTTCCAAGACGGTCTGAGGTGCGAGAGCGAGCTGTTAACCACCGTCCCAGTCCGTCGTGCTAGCACTGGTTAGGCAGCCCGTACCGTCGCCATTCGACGTCAGGTTCAACTCGCAGGATCGAGAATCGAGGATGCCGCACGAGGTCGAGCGATCGCTCCGTATCCGCCAATAGAAACGTGTCTCACGGAGCGATAAGCTGCACTCGGACCGGGGTGGGGAGGTCGATCTTATCGACCGTTTTATCCCTTATTATTGATTACTTCACGGTCTTTACACAATAACCTGCGATGATTTGGAATTAATAATATTGCACAATATATATATTAATAATAAGAGATTAGCCATTTCGTTGCAATTTGCGCGTATATTTCACCTTTATTTTTGTCGAGATTTTGAAGAATCTTGATAATTAAAATTCTCGTCGTTTCAACTCCGATCTGAATTATCCGAATTATTTAGCACAATAATAATAATAAATAATTTATAATCGAAGATTACTGTTGCGAATGTAAATATTGATGATTTCTCCTGTAAAAAATAATCTAAATTCTTTAATACAAAAATAAAATAATATTATAAATCAT